ACTGCAGCCCACGCCGTCGCTGGCGACTCACAGCAGCCCAGCTCCAGGTTGAGCTGTTGTTCAGCATCTTAGCTGCGGAGGGCTGTGTCACTGGCCCTCATATGTGGGATCCGAACCGGGGCCCTCTGGCATCCCAAGCGAGTTCTTAACCACCGCGCCACTCGGCCGGCCCTATACTTCTTTCTTATGCAAGTTTTTCTTTCATTTCTTCTAGCCCATTTTTCTATTGGAATCTTACTGTTATTAATTTGTGGATATCCTTAAATAATAAGGCTAATCACCCTTCACTGACACCTATGAAATAAATGTTTTAAGTAACTGGCATAAAAAAAAAATTATCAAAATTTTTTAAATGAGCAAGACTAAACTCTACTGTGTGGAGACATACTCTTGGGCAATAAAATGATAACCAAAGCAAGTGATTCCTAGATTCCTACAAAAAAATGAGAAAGCGGTTCCTTTTTGAGGGCAAGAGTCAGCTGCAATGGGGACAAAGCACTGATGACCCTGAGGGTGGTTGGCTAAGTTCTAGTTCTTGACCTGGGTGAAAACTGCAAGACTGTTCGCTTTATCATAATTCATCATACTACAGATTTCTTGTGAGTGGTTTTCTATACTTTTATTTGTTTGTTTGGTTTTTTTTTAAGCTGAGCCATCCTACCACCTGTTGGCAGCTCAGGGGCTGCTCAGCTCAGGCCGGGCATCGAACCACTGTTGCTCAGAGCTCAAACTCTTGAGCGAGCTCTTAACCAACTGAGCCACTCGGCCGGCCCTATACTTTTATTTAATAATTGAAAAATGGGTTTAAAATATTTCTTTTATATCAAATATGCCATCAGTGTACACACTTTTGTTTCTCTCACTCTTGTTTTTATAATAGGAGTTTGTTCAACTCGAAACTGAACAAGATCCACAAATTGCATCAAACTGACACATTTTTAAAGTCTCTCTCGGAGTTCCTCTCTCCCTCTTTCCTTTTCCTTTTAACTTATTTGTTGAAGAAATCAAATCATTTACCACAAAGCTTCCTGCATTCTGGATTTACCTGACTGTCCCATCATACTGCTTCACACTTCCCATCTCCTGTGTTTCCTGTGAGCTGCTTTGAGATCTATAAGCTGTGATCAGATTCACAATCAACTGGCTTAACAAGATCACTTCCTAGGCTGTTGTGTAAATGAGGTCTGATAGTCTCTTTTATGTGTGCATGTTCTTTTTTAATTTCTTAAATGAAAATAAGTGCAAATTATATTTTTTGTAATCTGTGGTTTGAAGATTTAACATCAACTGTGCTTGTTATTTATAAACAAATCATAAATCCAAGGAAATTTCAGGTAGAAAAGTTACAGCTCTGTAACCCAATGCAATTTAGCCAATCACCATGTTATAAACCCCTAAAAAAATACTGTTACATGCATGCACTGTACTCACCTGCTGAAAGGCTTGAATTGTAGCTGAGTAGGAATGAAGAGACAGACAGAATTTCAACAAATTCTGCTGTAGAGGCGACAGAAACTGAAATGCAGCTTCCAATATTGCATGATAATAGGAATAATCAGTCCCTGTTAAGGAAGAACAGTCAACAAAATAATCATATACGACTACAGATATCCAAATAAGACAGTTCCAGAAGTATAAAGCTGTGTGTTACAAAGGCACATAATCACAAAATGTTACCACCATACTGTCTTGAACTATTGTCAAATGCTTAGAACTCCCAGGAGTACACATTGCAACTGGACTTTTCCTCTCTCCTTCCCTTTGTCAGTTCTTCCCTACCCCTGGACTGCCCTGAATGACTTAACTCCTACCTACTTCCCGAGGAAGAATTCAGTTGTGAGATCACCAATGCAGGGAGGCATCCCCAACCCTACCCCGTGCCTCACTGGACCAAGTACATCTCTTCTTTGCTCCCATAATATTTCTTTGCTTACCTCTTCCACTTATCACATCATTTATTAAATTATTTATTCATTATCTACCCCTCCTCAAATAGTCTCCGAGCCCCCACAGACAGAAGCTATGACTTATTTATCTTTGTATCCACAGTGCTTAGCACATTATCTACTCAAATAACCCAACAAAGCTGAGCAGTGTGATGAGAAAGTACAGCTAGTAAAGGATATTTGTGAAATTGTAGTTTGGGGCAAAGTGTTTAAACAATTAGAACAAATTATCTGAGGGAAAAAAACACGTGCCAGTATGAAAAAATCCCCAAGATATACTGTTACATGAAAAGCACAAGATACAAAACAATGTACATAGTATGCTATCTTACTTTACCGTGAGAAACCATGAGAAATAAGAATACATACCTATGGTTTGTTGTAAAAAAAAAAAAGACAATGAAACCTAAACTAATTTAAATGGTTATAAAAAGCAGGGAAGAAACAGAGACAGGGAGACAATAAGATTTTTCTGTGTAAGTATAGCCTTTTAGATACCTTTTGACTTTTGAATCACATATTATCAGAAAGTATTTTTTAAGAAAAAATTAACATTCTAAAAAGAAAAATATAAAAGGTTCTACACTGCATTAGTATCTTCTAAGTAGAAAAAGAGATCAGAAAGGAATACCTCAAAATGTTGCCAGAATGTTAATGGTGAATATCTTTGGGTGGTGAGACTATAAATAATATTTCAAATAAAATGTTTAACATACTTTTATGATCACTTCCAAGAATCCATATTCCCCTAATTCTAACCAAGAACATATTACCATTTATACTGAAGAAATCAAATGATAATTTAAATTTCAGGGTGCAAATTTATTATGAAACCCATGTGTATAAATTTGTTTTTGTTGTGTGTAAATGTCTAATCATTATGTTGTTTTGTACGCCTGAAACTAATAAAAAAATGTAAAAAAAATAATTTGTTTTATGAAATTGTACACTAAAAGTAAAATGATTTGGTTGATAACTCAAATAATTCTAATTGACTCTAAATTACATATATAACTAAAACAGATGCTTGTTCAAAACCTTCATGTACTTACATGGCAAAAAAAATTCAGACTTAACTTTTAAGCTATTTATTATATTAATAAAAATCAGAGTTAGAAATCAATTCGGTTCAATATTAACAACAGTCACAAAATTTTCACACATTTCCTCTTCAATAAAGACTTACGTCTGTCAATGTAATATCAAGGTTTTAGGTGGCATGTATCAACATCTTTGAAAACTACTGTTTATATCTATATGGCTTATATTGAATTAGAAAATGTTTATGAAAGCGCATCTTCAACCATAAACAAATGATAGAATTTACACTGTAATTAATTTGATGCCTTGACACTCAAGTTGTAGGTGGCTGGCAGGCAGCATGGAAAACATTTTAGATAGCACTAACTTAATGATAAAAACTTAATGGGTAATAGATCAGTTACGTAATTCATTCATAACAAAAAAAGTGAATCAAATCTGATGGTTATTAAGTTAATACTAAATGATTTTAAATGAATCTGACTGCCACAAAATATTCACACAACACTTGTAATAAAAGAACACACACACACACACACACACACACACACACACACACACACACAAAGGGGGCAGGGAGTCAAGGGTACTACTTATAGCCAAAGTTATAAACTGGTTCAAAAATAATTATCAGTCTGTATTGGCTCTGCTGGCGAGCATCACAATTCTAATCATTAAGATAAAAATGTTTCCCATTAATGGCCATGCCACACATGCTCTGAAAGACCATTTTTTCTACTATTTTTCCAGACACCCAAGAAGCATTTGCTTCAATTTTACCGTGATGATCTGATGATCCAATATTTTGGCTGGATTCTACAAAATTCCAAAACTTCTCTTGACTGTCTTCTGCTAAAAACTCACTGGGAGAAAAGGGGAAATATTAGAATACAACAACTTAATTAAATCTTCTAATATAAGCGCTATCACTAAAGAATAAAAGATTTTTAAGTTTCCAAATGTCCATAGTTTGACTTTTAATTTATAGTACACATTACACAAACATGCATAACATATATTTGTAATGATAAGCAAGTCTTACTAGCCTATTAGCTATTAATAACTAATTAGCTTAGATGATTCACTTAATAGCTTAATGGGCTATTTCTCTAAAAACCTAGAATAGAAATGTTGTAACAACAGAGAAGTGTCAATATAAAGAAGGCTATGAAACCCCATGATGTGAAAATACCCTCAGTAGTAGAAGCAAAATTAAGAAATTGATAATTGCAGCACTAGTTCTGCTCACTTATTTTCTGAAAGACCTTATGAAGAACAAAAAACATACTTTGCCTAAGAGACTTCCAAGGAAAACATAAATCCTAGAAAAATTTCTAGGAGACTAAAGGCAGCATGTTGTAATCATTTAATATCCATAAATCCAAATTTTCAAAATCACCAAATTTTAGTTTAAAGTTAACACTGACCTAATAAAATCAGGTCTTAAGAACTTAATGCCATCTTAATTTTTTTTTCTTGACTTTACACTACTGACCTAAAATAATGGCTATGCTAAATTTCCCTTCGTTCAAGAGTCATTTATTCCTAACAAAATGCATGTATAACTGAATGATTCATGCAAACTGGTTCTCTTCTCCTCAGAACCATGACACTAACCTAGTGGTGACCTTTCCCTGTCTTCGAGTGTACCACAGACCTGGGTCCCAGCTTCCCTAGCCACAGGAAGACTCTCCCCTGACTTGTCAACACTGAGGTGCACAATTCTCACTCTACTCCACAGCTAGACACAGAAATATGGGGGAAATAAGAAACATTTCCTGGTAAGGCACAGCTTCTCTAAAAACAGGCTTCTGAAAATACCCACTATCATAATGTATTAAATTATTTGGAGTCCCCTTGAGTGTGGCATTTTTCTAGGCTTTCTGAAACTGACACAGACTTCATACCAATCTTGTAATAGTCTAAGAAGGCAGGTACTAAGACAGATAAAGATATGCAAATAAACGTGAAGATCACGAATTAAAACTTCATTCACAAGATAAGCTAGCAGAGGGAGGAAGGAATACACTCATCAGCTGCAGTGGTAAGAACAAGGATTCACCGAGGCTAAGACCCTCCTAGAAAGGCCATACACAAATAAATACATGCTTTTCAGGTAATTACAGGGAAACGTCTTGAAACACGCATTCTTTTTAATCCCACTGCATAAATTGAAACACGCATTCTTTTTCATCCCACTGCATAAATAAGTCCTACAACATCTAAATTTCAGTCTTAAGAAAGTTAATTACTACAATAGATCACCGAACTAATCCAGGGAAGGTAAGAACAGCACAAGATACTATTCAAAAGAGTGCTACCATTTGTTCGCAGTACACTTAAGTTTGTTTGCTTTTTGTCCTGAATTGTTTTTTAGCTTCTACCTCACTGAAATCACTGAGCAAACAATCTATAGTTTTACACACTAAATTATTTGATGTCTGGGATATGCTTTAAAATATTCCAGCGGGAGAAATGAGGAGAGTGGTAGAGGTGATAGTTATTGGACTTGACTTCCAAAGTTATTGTGAGCGATCAGAATTGGTCTCCTCCTATACAGAACTAGACTGGAAGGAAAATTAAGTATTTAAAGAGGGTCTACTGTGTGACAGACACTCTGTGGCATATTCACCCATGTCCACAAATCCTCACAGCAACCCTGAGTTATAAACATTTTTAGAATAAAAAAAACTGCAATTCAGAGGGCTTATTAACTTGTTTAAAGGTGGGGTTAGTAAGTGAAACTCCAATCTGTTTTGATTTATATCTCCAATCTGTTTGATTTATATCTCCATTGTGCTGCACTCTTGGGCCTTATAATATCTAACACTCAATAAATAATTATCAGTTTTGTTTTAATAATAGTACTTTATTTACACAATATTTCTGTTACTCATTACAGCTGCTCAAAACATACCCAGAGTTTTATTTACTTCAATTAAATATATGTCACTTCATGCATAAGCACAAAGCTACAACCCCTCCAGTAGCATCAGGGCTGATCTGAAAATACACATGGGAATAGTTTTAGTCCCTAAGGGCTAGATGCAAGGAAGGCAAAGGCCTGTTGGAGCTGCAGGCGTTGGTTTGTAGGAACAGTGTGCCTTTCCCCTACCCTTCCCTCAGCCACACGGACCACACCACAACCCACCACATACGCTCACCAGGAACCAGGAGGGAAAAATGGTCAGTTCTGGAGGTGACTATGGATGGAGTGGTTTCAAACAAGTGCAGCTCACTTGTGAATTGCCTACAAGCCTGTAACCTTGGCAAATCGTCTGCAAATAGCCACAGAAGAGGATAAAACACTATACCAGAATGGCACGTGGCCAGGATACCATGAAAAGGGGAGATGTTTGAGATGTGCAAGTTGATGAGGAATCTACAATAATACTCACTTTACAGACTGCAAAGAAACTAAAAAAACTGGCCAATTGAGGCTAACGATTTTGCATACTTTCTCAGAAGTCCATAGCTATATGCCATAAGAATCTTCTACAACAATGCAAAAACCAAGGGGTAAGTTAGTGTAAGTGAGAGTAAGGGAATGTAACTCAGGTAAGAATGTTAAGCAGAATTTGTACGTTAACTGTAACGTTAATGTACAAATTAACATTAGTTAATTTGTACAATGTTAATTTGTACAAAAGTACTTGAAAGTGACAGTAAATCTCAATGACCTAGATTTACACCAGACAAATAATCAAAAATCAGATAGCAAAAAGAAAACAAAAAGTTCAGTTATTAGACTCCTGGCTCAGGCAGTCTCCAATCTCAAAAAACTTTTGGTCACTTCACTTCTACTTTCTACTACTACCCTATATCTAATAAAGTTCTAACATTTGAGGAGCTCACCCCATTTATCAAATTAGTTATTGTAACATCACTATGAAGTACATGCAGCGTTTGGTTTGGAATGGGTTTTTTGTTTTTGTTTTGTTTTGTTTGCCATTTTATTGCTGGGAAAAGGGACACAGAAAAGAAATGGAAGAAAGTCTGTTCCGCAGTCTGTGGCACTCCTCAGCAAGTCGAGACCCGTTCCTACCTGTCCTCTCACCAATACCAAATGAGGCTTTTCCCTTAAGAGATGTAACTATTCATATATACAATCTACAGAACAAAGCTCTTCATTCACATTTTTCTAGAGATTAAGGGAAAATGTTAGAAGATGAAATTCTAAGTTGAAGAACAAAAAGTTAACTGAAGAAACCCAAAGTTCAAATTTCTAACACTATATTCTGAGACTTACCAAGTGCTTGACATTCAGCCCATCTAATTTATGCTTTAGAGATTCTCTACAAGTCCTAGCTATAAATTTTTTGAGGTATAATAATAAGTTTCCATCTATAAACATTAAAAAACTGACTAAAAGAGAGGTATCTGGTTATATTTTTACTATAAACCTAAGTAATAAGTATACTTGGAAGACAAAATATCCCAAGAAATCACTGACTATATGGCATTTTATAGATTTTAAGACACTATGGATTTTAAGATATATCATTTATAAAACACTAAGAATGAAAGATGCTACCAATTCTAACTGTAAGATAACATCTTGATTTAATTAGAATGCATCCTGATTTTTGGAGATGTTAAAATGTAGAACACGTACATCTTAGAACAGATAAAATCTGGACATTTCCTTAGCTGCCCCCTTGCACTCTCTTATCTTGGGGTCTTCTTCCAAGTTCTTAGTAGGAACATATGCTCTTTACCCAATCTGGCCAACCTCTCTTCTCTTCTTTTTAAATAAATAGAAAATTTCCTTTAAGTACAACTCTCTCTTCCCTTATTACCACATTCATACCTTTCCTGGAAAATAGTGTAATAATTTAACCAGGTCAATATATTTGTCTAAAGAAGTCTCCAAGTATCCCTATGAATCAGTACAGTCCTATCCTACTAACAGATTCTGTTCTAACAACACAGTGCATGCTGAAAGAGGCTCTTACTAAATGCACTTAATGATGATAATCTCACTTCCTAAACAGCTCCTGAATATTCGCTAGCAGGCTCTAATTTTTGCTTAAACTTGTGAAACAGAAAAACGTCTTCTTACCTGGCTTCTAACAACAACGGAGTAGAAAACCATTTTGTCGTAAGAGAGGTTGTAATGGCTTTTGAATCTGCCTTTACTGAGGAAAAGAGCCAGAGTCCAGTGACTACAATCAGAAGTCCCATTTTACAGCAAGCCCCTAAAAAAGGAAAACAAAAAAGTTGTGCTACAAGGAAATGTTGATACCTGCTCCTTGATACTTAGAGACACAAAACAGCATGAATATTACAGAACTAGCAATGCTTCCAAAACACAGCAGCACCTAATACCTAGATAGCTAATACCTAATACCAGGTCTCCAGCTACAGACTTCTTTATCTGGTTTTTCATCCCAGAAGTCTGTTTAACATGAAGAACCCTAACCAGAACTGCCCCTCGGCTATACAAAAGTCAACATCCAAGTCCCACCTGTTTGAATGGGAACCCAAAGGGGATGCAAATATGTGGGAAACACTAAACCAAACTTGTGCCTCTGGACGTTAACATCTGGAAAGGCTCGCCTCAATTCATCAATACTGGCTATAAAATCTATTGTTGGGGGGACAGTCCATATTGCAGGGAACCAGTTAAAGTACTGTCTTTTTACAAAAGCATTATCATTTATGCCAACATTCTGTTCATGTAACACACAATATCTCTAAAGCACAATGGTCAAAAGCAAAATAAATTATACCAAATAGAAAAATTGCTTTTAGACAAGTTTTAAACTCAGGCTCTACCAGCTTCTTTGGAAACAATAAATTAATATGAACATCCCATATATAAATAAGTACTTTTTAATCAACATTTGTAAAGATGAGGACTAACCAAGCTAGACTTTTGACAATGAAACCTGTGAGCAGTGATTCCTGGCTCAGGGGTCGGTGGTGGGGGACTGCTGGTGGGTGTAGGGGTGCAGAGTGGATGATGATGCAGGCCCCTTTTGGAAGCTAGCAGAAGTTAACACCATTTCCTGCAGATGTGCAAGCAAACCCAAACTTTTACATACAGTTTCGGACCACCCAAGAATTCTCGAATTGGGGGAGAACAGTGTTGGGAAATTGGGGAAGGGGAACAGCCAAGTGTTGTCCTTCAATCTTAGTTGTGGAGGTCGCAGCTAGCTCAGCTCCAAGTCCAATCGCCATCTGGCCACCCATCAGCAGCTAGGCGGCAGCTCAGCTCAAGATGCTGTGTTCAATCTTAGTTGAGGGTGGGCGTAGCCCACCATCCCATGCAGGAGTCAAACCGGCAATCTTGTTGTTTGGAGCACGTGCTCTCACCAGCTGAGCCATCCAGCTGCCTCAGCGGCAGCTCAGCTCAGGCACAGCTCACTGGCCCATGTGGGAATCGAACCGGCAACCCTGTTGCTCAGAGCTCACACTCTTAACCAACTGAGCCACTCGGCTAGCCCTCTTAGGACTATTTATAGACACCCTCCCCTACAAGTCCATGGATTGCAGCCTCAGGAACCTGCCTGCACCACAGAACCACCAAGGTATTAAAAAGAGATAACCTTTTGGAGTCAGGTACCTGTGATCAATTCTTGAGTTTGCTACTTACTAGCATTTTAATCATCATCATGTTACTTAATAACTTCTCTGGTCCCTTAGTCTCCCAGACTTTAAATCAGGGATGCCAGTATGTGCTACACTGGGTCACTGTGAAAATGAAAGGCAATGTGAAAATCACTTCGTAAAGTGCCAAGTACTATACCAGAATTACCTGTTCTAGTAAAATACATCATAAGGGGAAAGGAATAAAAACTATCTTCTAAATTATAGACTAATACATCACTATTATTACATAGCCTCAAAAATATGCCTCGGAAACCTATCCTCCATGGCTAGGAAAAAAATAAAAATAAAAATAAACCCTCCCCAAAGTCACTAAGTTTCTAAACTGGACAGAGAGTGTACGAATTATACTGAAGCAATATTATGCTACGGTTATGTTTGCGGTTTTTCCAGCGGGGACCTAGATGTGTCATCCCCCAAAAGTGAGGATTCCAGATGAGAAGCTGGGTACCACCACACAGTGGAGTTACAAGGACTGAGAGTAGCCAGGGCTCTGAGGAAACATGAGCATTTACTAAGCCATTACTCCCAGCAGCACTGTGTCAGGCACTGTGTATGTGTGTCACCGAGTCCTTCCACACAGGAGACCGCAGTCTCTTGAGGGCAGGTGGCAGCCTTGTCTACTTTGCTCAGAGCTGTGCTTGGCAAACACATACTCCATGAGTATGCTGCAGAATGGATGAAACACTATCACTCTGCTTAACAGTAAGAAAATTGAAGCTCATAGAGGCTGATTAACTTCATTGACTAATCTACAGCAATGCTTGGAATCCACATCTGCCTGTTTTTAAAAGTTCTGCAGTACCAAGCTAGCTCCCCTGGTTCTCTGGCTTTATGAAGGATAAGGATGCAAACTGTGCAAACCCAGACTGAGCAAGGTGCTTTCTTGTGAGAACTAAGACAAGTCTAAGGATTTTCTTAAGGCAGAATTCTTGGGACACAGGTGACTGACAGAGGAACAGTTTCCACTAGAAACCAAGAGTGCAGGTCTGAAGTTGGGACCAAAGCAAACCATCCAACCAGCCTGACAGAGCCATACCTATGCTGGCTTTGGGGACTGAGTGTGAGCTCTCAAGAGCAGGGAGTTGTGTCTGTCATCGTCATATGCCTAGCTTACTGCCTGGAACATAGGCGGTTCTTAAAATAACATAAACAAATACAGGCTTCATTCATTAAGGGAAAAACGAAAGAACCTGGAAAGAAAGGAGTGTGGAACCAAGAGCAAAGACACTACAAAAAGTTTAAAACTTAAAAAGGGTAAAAATGAAAACTATATTGCAACTCACCAGAGCTACCCTGGCGTTGTTTTTCAGAAAAGAGCAACAGAGTTCTTGGGGCAAGGTATAGCACCGTTCGAGATGAGAAGGGTAGAAAAGTTATAAAGAAGAGCTTTCCCACCCTGAGCCCACTTCCTTGATTCCACAGGCAAAGCAGAGGAAAAGGATGTAAAAAGAAGCAAAGGGGGGCGGCCAGTTAGCTCAGTTGGCGCAGTGCTCATAACACCAAGCAAGGTTGCCGGTTGGATCCCCACATGGGCCACTGAGTTGCGCCCTCCACAACTAAATTCAAACAACTACTTGACTTGATGCCGATGGGTCCTGAAAAATCGCCCTCCACAACTAGATCAAAACAACTACTTGACTTGGAGTTGATGAGTCCTGGAAAAACACACTATTCCCCAATAAAATTTTAAAAAAGAAAAAAGAAAAAAACAAGGGTAAGAGCCTCACTGACGTGACCTTTTGTTTCATGATACCTTCATTTTATGAGATCCCTTACCACTTTGACTCTAATGGTCTTTAAATGTTGCTTATGACTATGAACAGTCTGAGAAATAGCATCTGTCAGAATATGTAGTATGGCATCGCATGATCATAGGCACAATGTTTGTGTCATGACTGATAAGCCTATCTCTTGCTCATTGACCAACAGTAAGATACTGGAAATATAAAATAAAAAATAAATAAATAAAAAATAAAAGTTATAGAAAATGCTTTTCACTTTTTGGAAAACAGAAGAGGCATGAAATTCTAGGTCATCACCAACTTTTTCTTCTATTTTTAAACTGAAGATAATAGCTAACAAACTCTAAAAAAATAACTTCCACCCTGCAAGTTTACAGAAAGTCATCTGAGTTTCAACATATATGATAATAGTGAGGAAAAATATTAGGAAGTACCCTTCTTGTGAAATAAATTTACTTCTAAAATAATTAAACAATATACCTATTACAAAACCATTTGTTGTGAACCACATAAATTTAATTTCTGATACTAGTAGTTATTATACATCTAATATGAAAATGGTCACAGGTAACTGCAGAGAAAAATCTAATAGAATTTTCTCCATAGTTCAATTTATTCCCCTCAAATTAAATGTGCATTGTGAAGGCACCATGCCCCTGTACAAAGCCAATGTTCATTTCCTTTAATAACAATGAGTTTCAGCTAAGTTTATCAAAAGCAAGTCAAATAGAAAGGCTATCATCATCCTGAACTTTGCAGTGTTGTTAAAAGCTATTTTAAATGTCTTCAAGCCCCACACTAAAATTAGCTGGCAAGTGAACAATAAATGTTTCCAAAATAATGAAGCACACGGTAAGGCATAAGACCCTGGAACCTCAAATGAACAAAATATGCCAGTTCTCAAATCTGGCAAGAAAGGCAAAACAATCTAAAAGATTCTGGCCAAGGAACGAGAACAAATGACATCCATAACTTATTGGCGTGCGCACATTTTATTCTTCAGGCAGGTCCCACACTAAAAGTGAAACCGGATCATTTCATTTCCAGCCAACATTTCCTTGTATTAAATGAAAACGGCGACCAGTGTGCATCACCCCAAGTCATGTTCGGGAAAACAGAAATCGATAAAAACAAAAATCACGTCGTTCTCCAAGCAGAGTCCTGCAAAACGCAGGTTCTCCACCTATGTAAGGTCAGGCTTGGTCTAAATTCATGTTAGGGCACTTCGGCACAGGGGTCTCAAACCTCTTCAATGAAGGCTCAAAACGGCTAAAGACAGCCCGCGGCCACGCTCGCAGAAACGGTCCTTTGCACAAGAAGGCCAGTGAGGGACAATCCGGCCGCTCGAAAAAAGGGTGAAGGCTGGGACACAGGAGGGGAAATTGAGTCAGAGAAGAAGCGGAAGCTCAGGAGATCGGGACAGAGGGTCGCCCGCGCCTCGAACCCTCTCCCAGTCCACGAGACCTCCCCACGCCACCCCAGGTGTACCTGTCACCTGCCGTGCAGCCACGACACACGGGTCGCTCGTGTTCCCCTCCCTGCCCAAGCCAGGGCCGCTCTCGGTCCGTAACTGCGCTTGCGACAACGCCGGGGCGGAGCGGGGAGGGCGGCGGCGGCGGCGGCGGCGGCGGCGGCGGCGGTAGCTGCTGCGCCAGTGAGCGGCCGACACGCGCCTTTCCGCGGTTCAGTTCCTAAGCCGGCCTCGCGCAGCAACAGCCCAGCTGCCAACCGCCCTTTACTTCCGCTTCCTATTGCTGAGGTTCGGAGGACATCCGGCTACCGAGTCACGGCTGGGACAGCCTAGAGCGTCACAGGGAGCCGCCATCTTATATCCGAGGCCGCTTCGCCTGTCAGCTTGTTTCTTCCAGTTCAGCGTGGTTAGTTGAGGCCGAAGTGTTCCAGGTCTGGAGAGGGTGTGTGATGGGACAACTGAGACCCAAAAGCTTTACGGGATGGTGAGGTCAAAGAGGGATTTCAACCTCATTTCCGATTTGGACTCTGGGCATTTCAGAGTCTATTTTCTTAAACCCTTCTATTAAAAGCACTGGTACACAATAAAGAACAAAATGACTTAATGTTTCTAGCATCTTAAGATTTATTTGAAGCCATAAACTGTGGTAGCATCCGTTCTAGGTAGCATGGGGAAAAGAAGACTAAATTTTATGAGACAATTTCGCGTATACTGGCACTGGCAACTTAAATCCAGGGATTACTTTATCGATTGATTGACAACTATAAATCATTATGTAAAATTGTTTTGAATATGTGACACTGGGCAGATCATTTTACCTGCCCAGGGTAAAGACAAATGAATATGTCTTTAGAGGGTATAGTTTTAACTTTTATGTGAAAGCGATCTAAAAAACAAAAACACATTTAAAAATACATAAAAAGTGTAAAATCTTGACTGACTTTTGATTATATGACACAAACAGCTCATATGAAGAATGCCAGGGACTAAATACAGTACTTAAGAGCTTCAAAGCTGACTACTGGATTTTCTGTCCCTTGTTAGTACAAATGGAGTTAAAATAACTTTAAGGAATGAAAATAAGCATTTTAAAATTCATTTCTTAAGTGAACTTTTGTGTTACTGGATTTCCATTGTGTTTTCTACCACCCTTTAAATTACTTCAGGTGGGGGGTGGCCAGGTGACTCAGTTGATTAGAGCACGAGCTCTGAGCAACAGGATTGCTGTTTTGCTGCGCCCTCTGCAAGTAGATTGAAGACAACGACTTGAGTTGAACTGTGGCTAAGCCGCTGGTGGTCCCGAGTGGCATGGTGGGCTGCACCCCCCCACAACTAGATTGAAAATGGCAACTAGACTTGGAGCTGAGCTGCGCCCTCCACAACTAAGATTGAAGGACAACAACTTCACTTGGAGTTGATGGGTCCTGGGGAAAAACACACTGTTCCCCAATAAAGTTAAACAAACAAAAAAAAGATTTAAAAAAATTACTTCATGTAGTGTTTCCATTAAAAATGAAATGTTTTTTAATTCACATTACAGAGTTGGTTTTTTACTTTGTTTTACCTTGGTCTTCTGCTCTGTGATACATGAACACCACTATTGATTCTGAGGAAGAATGAACCTGCCAAGAAGGACTCCTTGTGGCTAATTGAGCCCAAATTCATAATCAGAATCCAGCAGCTGTTAACAGGGCCTCTCATGCATATTCCATTTCAGTGAAAAGTCACAGACTTGAGCTGCTAAGCCTCCTACATTGTGCTCCTGCTTTCTGAGCCTACCCTTATAAAGGAGTTCCTGGAATTGTATTTTGACCAGTAGGACTGAGACCTTCACCATCCAATCAGAAATGCACAGCTATATCCTCTTTTGCATCTTTACTGACCAGAGTGGCTCCACAATGACCAATCAGAACACATGAACCCGCCAATCACAACAGTGCTATTTGGATCAAACTATGTGGATTTGGAGTCCTACTTTGCTTAGAAATGGACCAATCAGGGACTGGGAGCAGGAACTTCTCTACATTATAAGCCAGCCTCCCCTTTGTCTCAATGGAGTGCACTTTCTGCTCCATTTCCCCAGCTTCAGCTGTAACACCAGAGCCGCAACACTTGAGCTGCTTCACTCGAGTCAAGTCTCTCTTCACCAAACCCCAGGTTGGGGACTTCTGTCATTTTATCACATGTAGATTTGTGTAACTACCACCAAAATCAAGATACAGATCTTTGTGGTGTTGGAATAGTTCCAGGGTGCTGGAAGAGCCCTACTGGTAGTGTCAACAAAAGGTCACTGCCACCAATCCAATGCCAATAGGAGTCCCCAATCTGGGGTGCAGAAAAAGGAGAGACTTTATTCAGGTGAAGAGTTTGCAAAACCTGGTTAGACAGCAGGAATACAGTGCAGGAGCCTTTGCAGCCCAGTCTGTGGCTTTTCCCTGAAATGCAGCACATGTGAGAGACATCCTGTAACAATGGCTGCTAGACTTTGATTATAAATTTGGGCCCAGTTAACTACAATGAATCCTTTTTGACAGATATGTTGCTTCTCAAGCTCAACATTTTCCCCTTTCCATTTTTATTTTTTATTTTTCAGTTATAGTTGACATACAATATAATATAAGTTTCAGGTGTACAACATAGAAATTAAACATTTATATACCTTATCACCCTAATAAATCTAATACCAGTTAGCACCATACATAGTTATTAATGTTTCCCCTTTTCAGTCAAAACCTGTTGGTGGACAATGTTGATCGATCAGGCCAGCTCATCCCATGTTGATGCTGGAGTGGCTTGGCTACCTGCTCCAGGTCTGTCTGGTCCCTCAGTAACACTCCTGTAGTTGGGCAGCAGCCAATAGAGCAACCAGATCCATTTGCCTACAAGAGGCATCCTAGGCACCTGCCAAATTCAAATAAACATACTCCTATAAAATGTCCAAAACAATTTAGGAAGCAATAAAGAACAAAGGCACTTAATTTGTAACATCAAGAAAAATAAGGGGTAATTGGTAAAAGGTATTTAGCATCAGAAATAAAAGTTTTAACCACAGTGGATTACAAACATGGAGGGATGCAGTGGCCTGGTGGATCACTTATATCTTTTGTGCAACCATTGCTCAAGTTTTTTTAAACATTTGGTCATAAAGAACATCAGTAAACTAAAAATAAGGTACAGTAAACAAATTAGAACAGCAATGAGTAGAACAATTTGTAATCCAGATCTTAAAAGAGCTCTAAGCCCAGTTGGGAGCGAGCTGAAAATATCAGAAAACCTAAATCCTAACCAGTCAGTGATATTTGAGGTGAAACTAGAATGTCCCTTAAGAGATCTTGCAAGCTAAGGAGTTTGGTTGTCTCTAATTTTACCTAGGAAGAGCTGTTTCTCCAGGTACAGCAGGAGATATTGGCTATGGTACAAACACCTCCTTGGGCTACAAGCAAATAATCTAAGTCAATGCTAGTGTCCAGAACTAATCAACCTAGGGAACCTAAAGATCTTGGCTGAGTTCTAGTGATTCTAGTGGCTGAATGGCTATTCTGTTCATTGTTCTGGTTAGATTTCACATTATTATATCTAACTGAGCAGTGAAAGCCCAGCCCATGAGCTTACAATTTCACAGAGGCATTTGTTCCCATATTAATCTCAAATTTTTACCTGCCAACATCTTGAAATGATCAAGATTCAGCTACCTCTGAGAAGAATTAAAAGTAATGGGACCGATGGAAATCAGGAGCAAAAACTAAGACCATAGTCTTAGTGCTTTTACAAGTTTTCTACTGATGATGATTGAAAGTTATACAATTGGGTTTGTTTGCTTTATACTGAACTAATGTTGAAATAGAAATAGCATTGACACCCACAAAGGTAGTATAAGCATACTCGGATTTACAAACAGGCATATTAATAGGTACAGCATGCAATAGCTGTTTGTGAAATTTGTAATGGTTAATTAAACAAAATTTGTATGAACTTTAAACAATAATATAAATTGAGCTGTTTTAAAACTAAAGGAGTTCATCACCTCCAAGCCAGTATTATGAGAAGCATTAAAGGAACTTTTTTAAGAAGAAGAAAAAGATAAAAAAATATGAATAATAAAATGACAATAACTACATATCTATCAACAATTATATTCAATGTAAATGTATTAAATGCTCCAATCAAAAGACATAGGGTGGCTGAATAGATACAAAAACAAAACCCTTACATATGCTACCTACAAGAGACTCACTTGAGATTGAAAGACACACATAGAGGCTGAAAGTAAAGGTATGGAAAAAGCTATTTCATGAAAATGGAAATGAAAAAAGGAAAAAACAAAACTAAGGTCACAATACTTATACCAGACAAAATAGACTTGAAAACAAAGGCTATAAAAAGAGACAAAGAAGGACCTAGTAATCCCACTTCAGGGTACTTACCAGAAGAAACCCAAAGGACTGCTGCAAAAGCACATGTGCATGCATATGCTCATTGCAGCACTGTTTACAGTGGCCAAGATATTGAGACAGCCTGGGTGCCCGTCGATGGAAGAATGGATAAAGAGGAGGTGGTACATATATACAATAGAATATTGCTCAGCCATGGAAGGGAATGGGTCCTTGCCATCTGCAGCAGCATGATGAACCTGGAGGGTGTTGTGCTGAGTGGACTATGTCAGACAGAGAAAGACAGATACAATGTGATTTTGCTTATATGTGGAATATAAGAACAAAATTAACACAAAAAAACAGAAACAAACTCATAGACACAGAGAACCTTTTGATGGTTGCCAAGTGGGAATGGAGGTTTGGGGGGATGGATGAAAAAGGGGAACAGATTAAGAAGTACAAATTGGTAGTTACAAAATTGTCATGTTTATATAAAGTATAGCATAAGGAATATAGTTAATAATATAATAACTATGTATAGTGTTAGATGGGTCCTAGATCTATTGGGCTGATCACTTCATAAGTTACATAAATGTCTAACCACTATATTGTACACCTGAAATTAATATAATACTGTATGTCAACTGTAATTGAAAAAAAAATTATTTAGACAAAACAATAAATTGGGCCGGCCGAGTGGCGCGATGGTTAAGAACTGGCTTGGGATGCCAGAGGGCCCCAGTTCAGATCCCACATATGAGGGCCAGTGACACTTGTCTGTTCCCCTTCCCCCAATTCCCCAGCGCTGTTCCCATCCCCCCAATTCCCCAATAAAAAATCTTTAAAAAAAAAAGCAAACAATAAATTAAGTAAAGATAGTCCTAAAAG